GCGAAAGATAAAAACTAGTTTCTCAACTGTAATCTTAATGAACTAAATTGAAATTAGATTCATATTAGTATTACAGAGTTTAATTTGAATTTGAATGAGAAATTAAACTTTTAGTGTTTGAAGAATTATGTTACGGTTTGTTTTAACAATCATTCTCCTTTACATAAATTTAGAGATATGGACTAGTTTAGTGTGCACTTGTTTCGAATATATCTGCGGAATGTAAAAAATTTGATTGTAGTTGTACGTATGTATGTATATACGCCTCCCATAACATTTACTCGATTAATGCGGTGACGGAAAATTCTTTTATTTTTGGCGTTACTTTGAAGGAACTATCAGGAAGTAGCATAGACTACTGTATAGCTAGGTGGACGCTGCATCTAATTTTGGGATGGCATGTTTGCAATTCCACTTTCTGCAAGTTTAAATCTATAAATAAAAAACGCAGGGAAGAAAAGTTATTTATGTCCCAACACCGTGCGTGCGAACCGAAAGCAGGAAAAATGTGCGCTAATTATTGAGTTAAAAGAAGATAACAAAAATACTACAACAAAAAGTCTTAAATTCTTCAATGTATTCGCAGGTTTTGTCGATATAATTAAGCCAGCATTCTGTTAATATTTAGATTTGTATATCTCTATAAGGAATAAGAGAATATGGGAAATCGGTTTAATATTTAAAAATTTTTGGTTTTTTTTTTTATTTTTTTTTTATCTATTTAAAATTCTATTTCTATTGTTTTGATAAAAAAATCAATAAAATATTTTTTAATGAGAATTTATACAAACAACGAAACAAACACCGCTTGTCCWTTTCTTACGACAGAAATTACATTTTGCAAGCCTTTTGCAAGGTATACGCGTTGAATGCATTTAATCAGTTTGGACCGGCCCTGGAAGAAAGAAGAAGACTAAGGGCTAGATGGAGGACCGTTGCTGGTGTTGTTGTAACGGTTAGTGTCAAAAACGCTTTTCTCCATATGCTGTCTTCTAGCAACTTGATGATTTTTTTCCAGCTCTGGCTCTGTACTTTGGCAATACTCGTGGTCGTTTGATTAGTGAAGAAGCACAGGCTGTCTAGACTAAAAGGAGTCCAAAGAAACCTATAATTTTAGGATTATTGACAGTCGAAATTTTAACGCCATGGACAGCAATATTAAAGTCAAGTCTGAGCTTTTTCGTCCAGTTTGTGAATATAGTTGCTGTGGATTTAATGGGGGAGAGCGGGCAGCGAAGAAGCGAGAAAGGTCGAAAAGATAACTGTTTATCGTATTTTGAAGCGTCTAAATATGACAAATCGATTTAGGGGAAACTACAGATTATGCAGAAGAAATTTGAACTCGGACTGTTGCATACCCTTAACGAGCTGAAAAGAGAGAAACATTAACGAACGGTGAAACGTTATATCTTCTGAGAAAACTTTAATCTATATAACATACGAGTAATTTATTATAAATAACTGCTGCATGTTTTACCTTCTTTTAATTTTAAATATATACATATACATATATGTTTGTATAAAAATTCACACATACTGGTATATTTGCCAAATTAGACCTGTAAAAAATGAAAAAGGTCTGCGCTCTGCGCTGCCTTCTCGCACTGCACTCGATTGCGCACACTACACATACAAATACCCCAAAGTACATAACACATGTATTTATTATACTTAATCAGAAGCAAATAGGCTGCATTCTCAAATATATATATATAATATATATTTATATATATGTGTACACATTCGTATATGTACAGGGAAATTAGCACTTTCGACTGATTAGACGCTCAAAGCTAATAGCTGTGGAAAGTGAGAACGTTCTATTTAGAGCTGCTGTTCTAACATTTATTATTAGTTGCTATTAAGTCATACTATGAAAAAACTATTTATGACTTTCCATATGTACACCTTCCGATTGTCATATAAAACCTTATCAATAATTAAAATTAAAAAAGTAAATAATCTTTCGTTATAGATTTCTTTTACTATTCCAGCTTTTTATTTAACATAGGCATTTATGTATGTATGTATGKATTTGTATAATTAAATTTTATTGTGAACGTACAATCGCATGATAATGCGATGACAATATTGAATGCAATTCATGTACGTAAGTATGTATGGAGTATTTATTTTTAGACCTTTAGGAAACTTAAAATTGGAACATAATAAAACATGTGATGTGTGTTTTATATTTATTACTTGTTATGTCCTTTTTAAAGGATAGTTATTGTACCCTAATATAGGACACATTAAGCTTGCCAGGAAGTTTGTAATACTCAGAAAGAAACGTCGGATACCCTCGATATCGATCTGGAATTCCAAAAATTGCTCATTTGTCGAAATCGCCGATATTGGACAACTACAGCATATAGCTACCATACAAACTGATCAAACTGATTAAAGTGCTTGTATATAAGAGCTCTTTTATTTGACGAGATATCCTCAGGAAATTTGGTATGGATTATCACTTAATGCAATTACACAATATTCACAAAAATTGCTCGAATCGAATAACTATAGCATATAGTTGCTATACAAAATGAACTATCGGAGTCAAGAGCATGCATAGAAAACTTTTTGATTTAACGAGACATATTCACCAAACTTTGCAAGGTCATGGTCTTGTGAGGAATAGTATATATTTTAGAAGAATATTATAGCTTCGGTGCAACCGAAGTTAATGTTTTTCTTTTTTCAAGTAGAGTTTACAAAAGTTTTACTAAATTTTAATTTTCTCTTTTCTAAACGATATGGAAATTTCGATGTCGAAACCTTTCTACGCACATTGTTCGAAGATAACAACCAAAAAACCTAACCAGCTCTTACCAAAGATAGTTGTATATGTAACAGAAAACATTGACCAAATTTAGAGGCTTGTTAACGTCAGTAAGCGTAAATATGAATAAATTAAGTTTAGTTTTTGCGCAGTAATAAAATTTAAATCCTACGCTAACGACAAATTATTTACTATATACTGGGAATGGAGATTTTATAGTGTTGCAGCTTTTGAAATGACATGACAAGAGATTATAATGTTTAGTTGTTGTGGGGTGATAAAAATTTTTCAGCTTCAGGTACATATGTATGTACATGCATATATTAGAAAACCAACTAGGTCCTCTACTTTTAAAGATTAATTTAAATCTTCGAAACTCAATTAAAACTATCAGCCGCGTCTAAATTTTCGCGTCAAACAATTTTTCATCATATCCCAGAGTAGGTCTGCAAATGCTCTTAAAACCACAGCAACCGTTTCAACGTTACAGGAATTGACCGGGATTGTATTCGGCATATGACTGTTATTTAGGTGATCTAGCCCTGTTTGGAACGGTAAGTAGTCTCAAAAATACTCTCGTGCCCATAGCGAATCCAGCAAGGCTATTAATGCCAATAACACAATTAACTTTAATCACATATGTATGTTGAATGTGACAGACATGTACATAAAGTGATTATAAGATAAAGCATATCTATGTACGTGTGTCCATTATATATTGTATATTCATGAATAAGTTTAAAAAATTAAGTAATTTTGGAAGTAATGTATTTTGTGAAAAAATTATCAGAAATACATTTCTCCAGTTGGAAATACCATTTAAAGTTGATAGACCTACTGAATAGCACTAAGGCTTTGACAGCGAAGGCCTAGCAATATCGTTTTTGGATAGATAATGTTATCAGTTTGCCCATATATTATGTGTAATAAGATAAAAGTGGCAAAGTAAAAGTCATGGAAAAGAATACAATTAAAACAAATAAGTAATATGGCTAAAAGCAGACTGTGTTATCGACTACCAACGCAATAATAACAGTACAGCCTATGTATGTACATATGTATAAATGTTTATATATTTTTAGTACCTACTTGACAACGAAACTCTCGCTGATAAGCATATAAAATCTGCGGTTTGCCAAACCATAAAAAATCTTAAAACTGCTACTTTAATATTTTCTTCGTCATCGTATTAAGCATGTTTTACATATTGTTTTTGCAAATACATGCATATGTATGTACATATGTGGATATGTTGAAGTAAGTTTGTTGAGTCGGTACAACAAAAAGTACTCGGATACGAGTACGTTAATCAATGCTGAGCGAAATACATACAAAACACACTGCAAGTAAATGAATAAGAAATCAAATGTATGAAGCGTCAAAAGCAAAACAAATAATTGCTTAATAATTTTTAGATAATAAATAAGGGAGAGGAGAGAATGTGCCGAGCAGTGGAGCGGCAAAAATGCTGCGCATTATAAGTGTGTGATAAGTAGTAGGTACAATACGAAGAATACTACATCATGTTTAAAGCTCTTGGTGGGGCTTAATGTAATGACTTGCAATTGAGCTTTATTAATCAGATAATTTAGGAATCACAGTTAAATATAGGGTTGACTGAAGCCCATTTAGAGAGTGTTAATACGTCGGTGCAAATATTATGAATATGCACAGGCACATATAGTCCTTACGACATTTACTTCTAAGTAACTGGAACAGACCGAATTTATACTGTCTATAGCTGCCAAGGACTAATGTTTCTAGCTTTATCAGTTTAGCTACTTGCATCAATATGAATTTATTAAAGAAAACTTTTTTTAATAATACTATAAAATTTAATTATTCCGGATTATTTATATTTTATTTACCCTATAAAACTAAACATTTAACATCAAATTCTTAATTCTCAAAGTGTTTGTTACACTATTCATATGCTATGTATTCGTCGAATCTCCAGCAGCAGTTTTGCGCCTCAACCGACAACATTTGGGGATGAATAATTGTGATATACACGTGCTACTGACAGCTAACGTTAACAGCACCTTACACACTTTTGATTTTTAAATATAATTAAATTTCTCTTGTCATATTGAATAGGAAATGGAAATAACTTAGTTGCTAGAGTATTGTATTTTAGCAGAGTACCGAATTACTGTGTTGCCATCCAGAAGCGATCAGACGGTGCGCTTTTAGATACAACAAAAACAAATCGCTTACTCACCTGACTGTTGTGATGTATATGTATATACGTTTGCAATTTGGACTTATAGCCCGAATAGCACTCCAGAAATCTGTGTTGGCGCAAAATGCGCTGTTTACACAAAACGCGACTTCCAAATGTTCCGTTTCCCTTACTAGATCATCAGCAAATGTATGGGATGACCAACGAAACAATTACGATGATTTATTTAGTTTTTTCCTCAGTCACTGTTATTGTTACTGCGTGATTCACTATTATAAATATCCAAATTAGTCGTACAATACGAAATAAACGTTATCCAAACAAAATGTTTTCGATTTTAATATGTACAGCCGCTATCTGACTTGTGTTTTTTGCCGTTTACAATTCTAGACCGGGAAATATAATCACAAAGCTTTTGTTGTCAAAAATACTTTTTATTCATCAATTATGTACTTTTGAGCTTGTTTTATATTTATTCTTTTCACGTTAATCTTTAATTTATTTATTTTTCCTGTAAAAATTTATACAAACACAAAATAGCACAACAAAAACTGTTTCAGCTCGTTTCGCATTGATTCTCCACATGAAAATAAAAATGCTCAGTACCGAAAAGTGTTGCCATAGCTTTGTTATGAAATGACAACTGAGTGTTTTGATATATCGGTGTAGAGGGAAATTTATTGTGCGAAGAAAACTGCTGCAATCTGATATTAGACCATATGATTATTAAAAAATTGTGTTAATAGCGGCTTCTGAATAAAAAATGTTACGCATTTTATGTATTTAAAATAAGAGCTTACTTAGCTACAATTGCATATTTATTATACCCGATATTCCGTATGAAAATTGCAACACTTGTCGGAAAGTGACATTTGGAATCGTGCTTAAATAAATAAAACAGGGTGCACCCAGTGAATGTAAATATAATCGAACACAACATATCTTATGTGAATGACTTAAAACAGAACGCACAAAATTCTGATATATTATATAATATAATAATATGTTTTAGTATGAAAGAACACTTTATTATTTGCTTGTTGTTGTTAAAATTATTTATATTTCCATAATGCATATGAGATCCGTTACTTTAGTTAAATCGAACGTGACGCAATTTAATTTTTAGTACGTACAGTACCGTTATTGTTAATGTCCCGAACTCCAGTACTTGTAATTGCGTTTTTTTTGCGTGTAATTCCATTTTCGAGTCGTTAGAAGTTTTAAGCATAGCGACAAGTGATACAAACCTACATATGTTGATAAAAAAGATTTGGGCTTTGAAATAAGTGAATGGGCTTGTCACTATTATTTCTGCCGGCAGTGCATATTTTCATTAATGAAATATTATAATATAATATCATAATTATAATAATAATATTAAAATATTTCCTTGTCAAGCTTCTTATAATAATAATTCATAAAGATAAAAGCAGATAAATGTATTTGGGCCACAATTGTACAATAACAGTTTATAGTGAAACCTCCGTTTGGCGGACACTCACCCTCGTGCGACTTTTGTCCGCTAAAGAGAGGTGTCCGGTTAAGGTAGCAGCTTTTATAGATCTAAAATAATTTTAAATTTATTTAAGACTCATCAAGTTATCGCTTTCTTACAGAAAGCTCTAAAAAAGACAGTCGAATATATACATACATATATATTCATATCAGGACATGCATATTAATATGTATGTACATAGATAAGTGGAGGGCGACGTAGGGGTTTTTGTTCGATAGTATAACAATTAACTGTCCGCGTCCGATCAAGAGAGAGATTCAAAAATTTCCGCTTAAAATTTGGTGCAGAAAAAAAATTTAATTGGAGGAGTCTGTCTTTTCTAGAGGTGTCCATTAGGGCCGGCTTCTCTATGGATGGTGTTCATTACATAGTATTTTAATAATTTTAAGGTGTACTATGATATTTATCCATAATTTAGTGTTCAACAGATTCTTTGATGTTTTAGCCATATATACATATGTATGTATGTAGAAGTTCAGGCAAGTGAGAAAAGTTCTCTGAGGGTTTAGGATCCGCCATATAAAAAAAATACCCTCAATGAAAAGGACACAAAAGCCTCGGAATATCCGAAAAACTAATACGGCCGTGTAAACTGACGTTGGGCAATACCAAAAGCTCTGTCAAGATTGGTAGCGACCTCTCCGATCCGTTCGATATCAAACGAGTTTTCAGACAAGGTGACTCCCTATTGCGCAACTTCTTCAATTTACTGCTGAAGAAAATGAATCGAGCTACAGAGCTAAATAGAGAAGGTACACTCTTTTACAAAAGTGTATAATTGCTGACGTACACTGATGTCATCGAAATCATTGGACATCAGACTGGATAAGAAAGCAAAGCAAGTGGTTAGTGAACGAGGCAAGACCAGATATCTCCTGTTATCAAACAAACAATCGTTGCATTCGCGACAGTCATAATTTCCAAGTCGTAGATACTTTTGTCTAAATTAAAACCAACAACTTTTGTTCTTAGGTGATACTTCGGACTGAGTAGGCAATTGAGAAGTAACGCCCTCTCTCGATGAACAAGGAAAACTTCACTCATCGTCAGTGTTACGAGTTATCGAGAGAATGGTTCTGCGGAAGATTTATAGACTGCAGTATTGGCCTGCAGTCGATGGAATGATAAGCTGTATGAAATATACGACGCCATTGACATATAATATGTATGTATCTAAGTGAATTAAGAGACAGCGGCTACGAATGGATGAAAGCACTCCAGTTTTGAGAGTAGCGACGCAGTACCTATCGAGGCAAGCAGAGAAAGACCTCCTTTCCGTTGGAAAGACCAGGTATAAAAGGATCTGGCTACCCTGGGAATCTCTAATTGGAGTCAAACAACTAAAAGGAAGAACGACTGGCGCGCTCTTGTAAATTCGGCTATAACCGCGTAAGCGGTGTCTATGCCAATAAAGAAAAAAACTCCTTGACCAGAGCCCAAAGGGCTGGTTACTAAGAGACTGCGTGGTTAACACCTCGGCAGAGCAGGCTCACATCACCGTATGCAGCTCTGCAGCAGAGAAGTTCTTGTTGAGATTAAAAGGGAATCCTATTGCGTCCCGATTTATATCGGTCAAAAAACAGCCGCACCTGACATTGTGAACAGACGCTGAGGAGGAAGCCGCTCATTGCGAGTCCGTCGCGTCTGGTTCTTTGTATTACATGCATGATGGGGGGGGGGGGGACACCTATTATTGAGAGCCGGTATCTACTCGCCACTGTTGCAGGGGTTTCATCGCTTAGCTGACTTTTATACCGTACTCTCCAATCCAACCGTTCCTCGTCAGGGGTTGCTTATTCGTCATAACTTATTTCGCAACTAACCTGCTACTACAAGCCATCCGGCTATCTGCGACCTCCCCATTAGCTTAGAGCTCAGCTGAAGAGTCTGGTCAGGGTTATCATCATCGACTCCACTCATCACTTACTCGACTGACTTAGATCTATTTAAAGGAGAAATTTATCAGTGTTTAATCAGCCTCTGTGTATGAGAATTCGCTTTCTTAATTAGTTCATAACTATAAGTAAATTTCACGTTTTTTTGTTATACTCTTACAGTAATGGTTTTATTTACAATTTACAAATACATTTATCTAGGTTAATATGTAAGTAAAGAACTTTTCAACACTGATTAATGTGTTATAAAAAGTATATGGTATATGTATATATATGCCTGAGTGATATTTGTCCAAAGTGAGTAAATGAAAATTTGCTAATTTCTTAAAGTAATGCGCTTTCTAGCAACGCAAATAAGACGAGAAATTCCGCTTATTTACTTTCCTTTCAGCTGAATCTTCTCGAATGGATGGGCTTCAATATAAGCCAGCGCTCTCAGAATATAATCTGGAATTGGTGGCGGCGTAGGCAAATGATCACCTTTAGGTTGATAACCATTTTCATCGGCTGTGTAAGTCAATTGTATGGGCTGACCCTCGGGTGAGGTATACGAGTATGAGCCAGCAGCATACGAGCTGCCAACACCGCTCTCTTGCGCCTGAATCCGATTCGACGTTGCGTACGCGTAATTGTAGCTGCCATCGGGATTCACTTCATTATCATACTTCAGGATAGTGGCGTGAGCATCCGCAGGATCACCAGCAGCGTAGGCGACGGCGAAAAGTGTTGTGGCGACAAGAAGCTGTGCAACAAAGAAGAGAAAGTGGATATAATGTTAACACAGGTAAACTGTAGTTGTTTGGAAGCCGCAGGCAAGCTTACCAATTTGAACATTTTGTTTTTCAATTGAGTTTGTGCTTGAAAATTTATCAAATTTTGTTTAGGTATGTAGACTACGAGGCTCTGCGCTGTCTTACGTTGTGGAGGTAATTCTGTTACTGATTTGCTATGAGCTTCTAAACACTTTTATATATTTCACAAGTGTAGACCCCTGGTGTGTGCTTCAAGCACAACTAGATGTTTCTGCGAGCGCTGCACCCATCGGTGCGCCCCAGCGCTATGTGCGTGTGTATGTGTGCACTACAATACCATCATTAGAAAAATGAAATATTGCCGATTATATGCAAATAATCGATCCGAGTATGAAGATTATGTCGATTACTATTTTTTCCGAAACACAATTGTTGTATGTGCTCGAAACCAGTTTATTTAACGCGCTTATCAGTTTGCAATTTTAATTTGACCGCGTTTAGTGAGCTTTCTGTTGCTTGCCGTTTTAGTATGTATTTTAGCGCCGCTATAGCACGAGTCAGCAGCTGAATAGTTGTAAAAAAACTGTTTATAAATGTAACGGCCGATACGCACACATAAACAAATAAATGCCAGATTATTTGAATTTATTAATCGGATTTAACCACAGAGGAGTCCATTGACGAAGCCAAAGCAGAACAACCGAATAATACGCTTTTAGAAAAATAATGAGTGTCATTATTAATATGCAAATCTGTCTCATCATGTTCGTGCTATGCAAATACACACATACATATATACATACACACATATAAACATCTGCATATACTTATAGAAATGTGTATTTCGCATGTTTTGACCATAGAAGTGTTACGCGTAAAATATTTCGAAAACATGCAGTTGACATGCATCGTCTTTTAGTTTTAGTGTTAGTTGTATTTGCATATCGGTTATCATATTTTGAACAGCATTTTTGCATATGCTTGTCGTTCATGTCACTAAACCCTTGAAATAAATGAGCAGCTATTCAGTGTGAGGAAAACAAATAGCAAAACTGTTGACTGCTGTCACAAGAAGCAAACATTTGTTTCTTAAGATAAATATTGTACATATATGAATGCATCAGTGATCATCAGTTACCATTATTATTTATGCATAAAAGAGGAAATAAAGTCTTCAAAGCGCCTAAAAGTATGCAAGAATATATTTCTCTTATGCTCTGCACAACGGTGAATTATCCAATGTGCCTTTCAATCTTCAGTTCTCCTTATGATCACTTCTGCAGTGATCAGTATACAAGTATGTGTACATTTCGATAAATGATCTTACTATTCCCTTTGCGATGGTAACAATCTGTGGAGCCAAATCTCCAAGTAGTAATGCTAACATCCAATAACTTAATTATAATATATAAATAATAGAGGAAGATAATAGGTCAATTACTTAACTTTGTATTGAAGTTTGTAATTCCCAGAAGAAAACGTCGAAGACATTATAATAAAGCTATATGTACATAAATATGTAGAACAAATCGCGAAGCAGAAGATCGGGCAAAAAACGTCTCAACAACCTCCGGCTCCAAATACCTAATATCCTCCCACTCCACGATGGTTGCGAATCTGCGCAAATTTTCTGAAACCCCAAAAGGCATAGAGATGGCTTTGCTGCTTCGCAACTATCAGTTCCCACAACTTCCCTCTGACAACTTTTCCCAAGCCCTAGAGACAGCCAGACTGCATAAGGTCGGCTAGAGACAAGACGGTAATAGCATTAGCCATAAAAAGATCTGTTTTGACTTACGCGACCAACGCAAAGGTAAGGATAATAACACTCTTGGTTGCTCAATCGGGCTGACCAAATTCCACCTGTAGTCGCACATAGGACGAATCGCACGGATTAGACAGCTGCCAGGAATTTATTCGTTGCAGGACGGCATCTTGCCAACATTTTTGCAACAAGGAGTGCAAGCTCTATTGCCACACCTGATGTGGTATCGCCTTGCGATGGCGTATATCTCAGAACTGTGGAGAATAGCAAATGTAATCTTTTAATGTAAACCTAGGGTATCTAGGTAAGAAGGAAAGATTATTCTCTGGTCAAATATTTTATAAAAGTCGTTGCAGCCTTTTTCTTCTACGAACATTGGACCAGAATCCTGCATTGCGGTGCGTTCCCATACCATAAAGAAGCTGTTTCGCACGAAACAGAGTTTGGGTAGAGAGAGTTATTGGCAAGGTCAGTAGGGTAATCTGGATTATTATTATTTTTTTTTTAAATTTTTTTTTCATAGACATTTTTATTCTACAATAGAACTTTTTCATATATCATGAGGTATGTACAATATATGTATATAATTTTTTGATTACATCTGTCGGTGAATGAGATGGGTTTTTTCATTGGCGAACACGATTTCTCATCTTTGGATTATCTGAAACACAAAAAACCAATTTTTTCTTAAAAAGTACGTGAATGGTTATCGTCATGAAAGAATGTAGTTAAATAAAAAGAAATTGACGTTTTTTTTTTAATTTTTCCGCATGTTTTTTTATATAAATTTTGTCATAACATTGGTAAAAAATTATGAATCTAATAGGGGCGATAGCAGGTGAACATTTAAAAAAAAAATTAAAAAACCGGTTGAGTAGTTCGACCGGAATCTTGTCCGCCAGATTAAAAAAGTGTTTTTTCAGAAAAATGCCATTAAAGTTTGAGTTTCTACATTAATTCTAAGCCGAAAATGCAAAAAAAAAAAAAAAAAAAAAAAAAAAAAAAAAAAAAAACCAAAAAAAAAAAAAAAAAAAAAAAAAAAAAAAACGAAAAAAGATTACCCTACTGACCCCTCAATTGGAATTCGAAATGGCTATCCACACCTAAAATAACCGAGCACAGAAGGCCATGCATCCTGACATAACCTTTCGCTCTACCCCAATAAATATTTGCGCTTCGATTTCCGTCCGATTCTCTTCGGGCTTATTCCCCACCAAGTTACAAGGCAGACGATTTGTCGAGTCTCTTACTCTATATATGAAGATGATCCGATCATTAACCTAAAAAGAGAAACACAAAAAGTTGCGATTTATTTATAACTTTTGTTCTGATATTCGGCCTCGAAGTTGTAATACAGGGTGGCTGATGAATTTTGCTACATTAAGAAACTCAAACAATTTTTTTTTTCAGTGTATGGAATTCATTTTTCTTTTATTGTAATATTAAATATAGTTTATGAACTGTGTATACGCTATAGCAATTCAATCTAAATAATTATCTGGTAGATATCATGATTGCCTTAGATCCTGCGAGCACTTGACAAATGCTATATGCTATAGTAGTCCAATTTCGACGGTTTGAGAAAAGCTGTTTAGAGAGAAAGGGACAAATACTGATCAATATCTCAAAAACTTTGGGACTTGTTTGCGTATATACAGACAAACCGACCGATTCAGGTCATGCTTGTCAGATATTAATGCATATACCATATTATATATTGGCTCTGACGTTTCTTTCTAGGTGTTATAAACTCGGTGCAAACTTAATATACCCTGTTCAGGGTATAAATATGTAACTTAACCATATTTCAATCAATTCGTAAGTGTATTTGGCTAATTATCCAGCAAAGACATTCGTTATTGAGCTCAAGTATACTGCAGATAATTAGCAAAGTACAGGCATCAAATATGCAAATTACTTAAGGCCTTCAATTTAGACTCTCGGCATGATATTTCCAGAAATGTATTTTTATACCCTGAACAGGGTATATTAAGTTTGTCATGAAGCTTGTAACACCCAGAAGGAAGGGTCGGAGACCCTGTAATACTTTATATAAATGATCAGTATGTCGAGCTGAGTCGATTTAGCCGTCYGTCTGTCTGTATATATACGAACTAGTCCCTCAGTTTTTAAGATATCGTTTTGAAATTTTGCAAACGTCATTTCCTCTTCAAGAAGCTGCTYATTTGTTGGAACTGCCGATATCGGACCACTATAACATATAGCTGCCATACAAAGTGAACGATCGGAATCAAGTTCTTGTATGGAAAACCTTCACATTTCGCAATGTATTTTCACAAAAGTTGGCACAGGTTATTTTCTGAAGCAACAATGATCTCCGAAGAATTTGTTCATCGGATTACTATAGCATATAGCTGCCATACAAAGTGAACACAAAGTTACTAACAGAAATGCACCTGTGAAGGGTATTTAGCTTCGGTGCAACCGAAGTTAACGTTTTTTTCTTCTTTTAAAAAATGTTTCGAAGATTGTAGCACCTTTTCAGATGTCGTATAACGCGAAATATGTACTCATTTTTAGTCCGCTTGTTTTTGTTTTTCATTGTATAAGTATAAATGCCGTGGCGTAGAAAAACAAGTTTATTTTATGGAACTAGTTCTCTAAAGTTGTGGAATATTCTTATTGAGGATGTAGGAGTTATCGCTTCTTCTTATGATTTATGTTAGTACGCGCAGTCGACGATGAATAGGCAGAATCTTTATATATGCGAGCTTGATTTCAATTAAGTAATTCCTTTCTTAAGATGCCATAACATTTGATAGAGCTTATTACTTAATAAAGAGTTCCCGTACTTTTTACCGAATAACAGGTCTTAATAAATACAAACATTAAACTGTATCGATTTGATTTTTTTTAGATTTTATAGTAATTTTCGTTGGACAATAGTATTTATTGATATTAGGAATAATATGTACAATGCAATGCTTTGAGCCTTGATGTAGGAACTTGTCCATTATTAAAAATAACTATTCGTCTTTTGGTTTCTTAAAAGTGTCTGCGTTGAGCTGGGCGACGCAAGTTCTTCACTTGATGGCTTGGTGCCGCCACATGATGGAATTGTTGCTGTGGACGTTGTTGCTGTTGCTGGTGTTGTTGCTGGTGTTGTTGCTTATGATGAGCAGCTTCCTCATCATATGGGTGAAGGCGAATATATTCCAAAGACTTGAGGATTTGTGGTGGAATTGGTGGAGGTGTGGGCAAGTGACTGCCTTGCGGTTTGAAGCCGTTCTCATCAGCCAAATAGGAGAGCTGAATCAGTTCACCTTCAGGTGAGTAGTAAGCAAAACCGCCGCTGGCATGATGACCACCGTAGCCTTCTTCTTGAGCGCTAATACCATTGGAAGTGGAGTAGTCGTGTTTGTAGCTGCCATCCTGGTTCAGTTGGCTGTTATGCTTCAGTGTCTCTGCGTGAGTACCGTGGCTAATGGCTCCGTGGGCAACACACGCTAGTGAAGCAATGGTGGCAATAATGATCTGCAAAAAATACGAGCATGTCTCAAATAAGTAAAATAATTATTTTTTAATCACAAAAACTCACAAATTTATTCATTTTAATTTAATAGGATTATCTTTGGGAAACGACTAAAGCAGTAGTTTGCTAATGAAGACACTAAATTGATTTGATGCAGATTAGCAAAAATCGCTCTAGTTTTATACGAAAAATTATTTGTCAACCTACATGATTCACATCAAAATGCTGTCAAGTTTGGCTTTTGTTATGCATATCATGCGTCAAGGCGTTAATCACAATCAGCGACTTGCGTATCGAGCTATAGCTTAGACAATTGAACCGGTGAACGCGTCTGCATATGGCTTGAATGGGTGTGGAACACGCCTAGTATAACATCGGTTTGCATATTTAGGGTTTGAAAGCAAAATGCGGTCAAATAATAATCGAATGTGAACAACATCACAAATGCACATATACATACAAACATATTCATATGACCACACATTTAGTCTGAGCAAGTGCATCGAGGGCTAATAAAATTAGCGAATGTAAAATATATAAAAACTAATTAAAATAACAGAAAAGCGTTTGTCTTGCTTGGTTAGGCATTATTAATTTTTGAATGAAACGCGCGCATACAAACACACACAAACTTAGTATGTGAACACTAGATAGAAAAAAAAATATTATCTTTTATTTGAAATTGAATGTAGCCATATATGAATACGAGATCTTTAAAGCTGCATGTTTCTTTTATGGTTAAATTTGGCACTAAATACGCTAGCAAATTTATTACTGACGTGTAAGTGAGTTCCAAACAAAGCCCATTTTCTTAATTATAGAAAATATATTTGACAATAGTGGTTATAACCTGTCAGGAAATGGAAACCCGCACAAAAATTAATTTTGGTGGTAAACAAAGCACGAAGTGTAAGAGCTTTCAAAAAGCGTCGTAAGTCATCGTAACATAATCAAACTTACATTTCAGAAGGGGATTATGAGTTAAAAAAAAAAATTCACACTTCGCATCAAAAATCGGAGAATAAAAATATTTGCACACAAATGTACATATTTTGTCTTATTTCTCTATTAAGTATGTTGGGAAGTGTTTCCTTTGGTTGCCGTTACACATTATTAGAATTAGAAATCCCTGATCCAAGTGAGGTACTTTTTTCAATAGTCTTTATAAAAACTCACGCTCTGTAAAGAATGTGCTTCGAGCGCTTCGCTCAACTTATGTTCAACATAATCGGCCTTTTGAACGTATTATTTGCACCATCATCACCCATCTTGAGACCCAGCATTTATTATTGGATAACTTTCGACCGAATAAATTACGTTCAGCAGGCAGTGAAGAAAAATATAGCAGCCGTAGCTGAGAGTTTACACCACGATCGTGGAGAGCCAATCCGGCGCCGTTCGCAGCAACTCGGACTGACGTATGGAACGACCTGGAGCATTTTACATCGAGATCTTAAATTGAAAGCGTACAAAATTAAGCCTTTCGATCTTCCCAAGCGACATAGCTTTATGGGCTCTGTAAAAGCTCCAAGAAGAGAACGTTTTTTCTCTGGTCTTTATAAAGTGTCCCGTTACTAAAACTGGGTAAAATCGGGTTCGGTTCCATAACCCCCACAATAGATTGGTGAGCCTGTGAGATATCTTATGAATTTCTTATGTCGTAATGGCAAAATTGTATGACATCGGGTAATAGTACCCGTAGCTCCAATATATCCAAAATAAGATTTCAAACTTGGCTTTATACCGTATATATTGAATGAATATTAAGGATCATAGAGAAAAACAGAAAATATTAATCATCTAAACTTGCTATGTGGTTTCTCAAAACTGTCTCCATTAAACTCTATGAAGTTTTTGAGCCTCTGATTGAGGTAGCTACAAAACATTCGGAGCATGAACGCATCAACCGTCATGCGGTGTGTGAGAAGTGATGTGAAAAATGATCCGTCTATGGCGGTTGGTTTTCGTGATTTCTTGAATGATAACTGGTAAAAAAATGGTTGTGTACCACTCAGAGTTTACTGTTCTGCGTTGTTCTAGCGGTATGGCTGCTATATTTCCAGTTTTTTCCATTTGCTTGCTTATATTTCTTAGTCGAATAATTTTTGTTTGAATCAGCTCATTTGGTATCCGTAAATCCGTAATTTATCACCTATCTAGATGTCATAGACGTGTTTCGAAGCAGCGCAGTCGTTTCCGAAACAGCAACTGATTTTGGACGACCTAGGTTTGACATGGAGTGATCTACGACCTTGAATGAATTCACCATACCAACGGTAAAGCAAAAATTGAATTAAGTTCATCGATGAATTGTTGTTAATCCACAGTGAATGTTGTAAAAAATATTTGCTGGAATATGTTCGCGATTTAGTTCCATTTTATGGCTGAGATGAATATTTAAAGTTACTGTAAAAAACATTAATAGCGCTTGTATGACACAACGTTCTGATTATGTGCACTTTATATTGAGTATGAAAGGGTTCAAGGAAGCGTATATTACATTACCGGTATGGTTATTAATTTTGGTAAGATAGCTTCTCATATCCTGTATCTGAAAACTTGTCTTAGGTTCTGGTCCGATATAATCATTGGAGATGTTTAACGAAATGTATAGCGAACAATTCTGATCTATTTTAATGCTGTGATTCATATGAAATAGAAGTGGTTGTAGTCCCATATTGCAATACAAGAATAACAAGGAAATGAAATTGATCGATCTACCTTAAAGTGGGCGGTGCCATGCCCATCGTAAATGTTCATGTCGATTTGCGAATTACGTCACTATTGACAGCTATATATTTGAAAAAGTTAAGAGCTTTTTGTATCTCGGAACCAGCATAAATTCCACCAATAATCTAAGCACAGTAACTTTTTGCCAACTGGTGATGCTTTGAGCTCAGTAGGGAATTGAGAAGCAGATCCTTGTTTCGATAAACAAAAATTACGCTCATGATGATGAAAAAGCACTTCGAGAGAGTTGTCCTCCGCAAAAATCTTTGAAGACGTCCGAGTAAGCGATGAGCTCTATGGCGATAAGGATATGGTTAAGAGCATAAAAATCTGTCGAAAGACCTGATTAGGCTATGTTGTTCTCCTGGAAGACCCATGGATGGACAACAGTAGCAAGGGCGCCCACAAATTCAATGGAAGGACCAAGTTCAGCATTAGGGTGGGTCGATTCCGGACTTTTTTCGTTTCGGGATTTCTAATAGTGCGGAAAACTTGCCTTAGTACTTCCTGATTCCAATGCAACTTTTTGTTTTGAGATGGGATTGCATCTTCAACCCCAACTCCCGCCTTGAAATTTCGGAAATTCAATGGTATATGTGATCATGGCCGTAGGACGAACCTCGCAGCTCTCAGCTAACCTGTATTGGTCACCCAGAACCCACCGCGTGGAGGTGGCTGCTCTTCGGGTTCCTCCCAAGCCCAACCCAACCAACCAACCATATGTCAGGCTTGTTTTAGTCTGAATCTGTGTCAAATTTATTGATAAAATCAGATTTTGTACTGAACTTTGGCACTTGTTGCCTAGATTTCAGTGTAGAGCAAAGAAGAAGAAGAATGAGAAGACATGGGATGAGTTATTAATCATACGTAAAAATTTGTGAGCAATGCATTTTTGTACTAAAAGATTGGCACTCTTTTAGCAAGCTAGTCTAATATATAAGATAAGCTGTGACATTGAAAAAATCAGTATTTTTCTTTTAAGTTGAATAAATATGAAACCTTTTGTGAATTTAATAAAATTTAAGCGCTTTGTTATTTCTTCAATATCTACTAAAAGAACTGCGTTTTTATTTTTTTGCTATCTTTTTTAGTTAAAAATGTATACTCATTTATGTTTGAAAATATATGTTGGGTCAAATAAGCTGTGAGCCACTGTATATGTTCCTGTTACTCTTTTAAGTACCACTCGTAGGATCAGGATTATCTTTAAATTGTATCATAAATAAAAAAATCAAACAATCAAAATGAGAAACAAGAGGCTGAGGCTAGAGATTAACAGTTTACGGATGCAATAAGTTGACGAAAATATCAACAACAACACGTTTTGATTTTAAGAATGTATTTTATTATCATTTTATAACAAAAATCATGATTTATATGTACAATACAAACTAATGCTATTTATAAGCGAATTGTGCAGACTTGCAACCAAACCAACGAAGACAACAATCATTTTTTTCGATTTCAACAAAAGTAAAAAACCCATTTACTCATTATATGTATATATGTTTTTATATGCGTGTAAGCTCCTACATTATATGCATGTATGTGTATATGGACTTATTCATTTACGGACTTAGAATTGAGCTTGGCCGCTAGCTCCCTTGCGGTCCTCCTGCTGCGGATGTGTGCGAATATATTCAAGCGCTTTGAGAATGGCCTCAGGTATTGGAGGTGGTGTGGGCAAATGTTCGCCAGCCGGATGGAAACCATTCTCATCGGCAGTATAGCTCAGCTGAATGAGCTGACCATCTGGCGCATAATAGGCTGAAGAGCCGCTCGCATAATAACCGCCTACACCGGATTCGCCAGCAGCAATGCCATTCGAAGTTTCATACTGATATTGGTAACTGCCATCCTCTTTCACTTCGCTTTTGAAATTACGCGTCTCGGCAGCGGCATCGTATTGATCAGGACGCGCTGCTACGAAGTGGTTGCAATGACAGAGTATGATGGTGGCAACGAATGCAATGGCAATGGAAGTGGTGGTCTGTAAGTAATTCGTTGACAATGTACATTTATGAATGCAACGCCTTTTCATTCTTGAAAACTGGAAATATACACGAGCTCTCGCTCTCAACACTTACTGTTTTTGACATTTTGCTGGTTGGTTGGTGTTGGCTTGTTGTTGAAATAGATGCTTCTGCCTCGAAAGTTTACACAAGAATGAATATGTGTCCAAGTGTCCACTGCCGCATTTATAGTAACAAATTGTACCAGTTTCTTCTGTTTCACTTCGAACTGTTTCATTGAGTCGCTGAACCAGATTGTACCTTTCTGGAGAAAAAACACGATTACTACGAAACGATAAATAAAGCCGAGATGAGCAAAAAAAAAAAAAAAATTAAATTAAAGCACAAAAATTAAAGCCGAGCTGCACAGTGGCCACCATTGTAGTGCATTTTCATTTTTAAATTGCCTCAAATATGAATTTTGTTTTTGCTCTGTGTAACTTTATTAACACTTTTTATACTCCAAAATATGCGGAACATTATTCGCGCTGCTTCGGTTAGCTTTCAGTGTTTGTTTACTTTTCCCTCAGTCATTACAGGCTTCCTAATAAAATTTAAGGGGCGTGAATTAGTGTTTGTGCATATAAAAAATAGTTCCACAACATGAATGACACAAACTAACACGAATTTGTTGCCGGCACATACCCGCCGAGAAAACCCTTTCGTTGCTGGTGAGTCATCGCTGTGTATTCCGATAAGTTTTCGTAAATGTTTCTTTATGTCTTTATGGAACTCGTATGGGGTTTATTATGTGAGTCTTTGGGAGAGTTAGATCAACATTTTTTTTGAAATGTCTTAAATGTAATTCATACAAATAAATAAGGATTTCCCTACTATGAATACGTGAGCCCTTGTTTAAATGTCGGCAGAGAAGTTAGACACGTTTCCTATTCTTCTGCTTTATTGGCGTAGACACCGCTTAAGCGGTTATAGCCGACTTTACAGCAACGTGCCAGTCGTTCCTCCTTATTGCTGTTTAGAAGATTGGAGATTCTAAGTGTAGACACGTGCTTCTCCACCTGGTCTTTCCAACGGAGTGGAGGTCTGCTATGCTTCCACCGGCGGGTAATACCTCGCATACTTTTATAGTGTTTTTGAAGACATGATCAACCCAGCGTAGCCGCTGTCTCTTAATTCACTGAACTAAGTTTGTCAATAGTTCAAAGGACCATAAATTTTCCGCAGAATCTTTCTCTTGAAAGTTCTTGATGTCGCGTCATCAGTTGTTGTCATCGTCAATGAGTGACTTTTAGAGTTTGGTCTTTGTGTGTAGAGAGACACTTCAGTCCGAAGTATCATCAAAAGAGGAGTCTCTCAACTGAGGCGGTTGTATTCTTTTTATTGGTAGTATTTTTACAAGGCGGGTCCCAAACCCAGAGCACACCCTGATGAGGGGATGGTTCGTCTTCTCACTTTAGCTCGTCTTCAAACGGATGTTTTTGGCAACTCAGAGGATATTTGGTCTAACACCGGAAGTCGTGAGCTGCTGGAAAATAATAATTTTCTGGCCACTCCCAAGTGAATGGCGCTCAGAGAACTTTACCCACTTGCGTGAACTTCTACACATGATCCATCTTCCTTTTATTGACTTTAATGTCTATTATACATATCCCTTCCAATCCTAACAGAGGGAACAGGTTGTTCAGCTGTCTTTACGTTAGAGTTTTAGAGATATCTTTTTAAACCATATCTACTTTTGGAACATTATTATTCAAGATTGGGAGTGTCAGCCCGCCTTATTGAGTTTTCTCTGAATATTGTGGAATAATTAGGACTAAAGTAGTATAGTTTTACAAAGGGATCAATTTTAGACTATGTTTTAAATGTGTTTTCCAACAAGTGAGTGTCGCGTTTGGCCCGAATAAATTCTAGCCGAGAGAATAAATTCTCGCAAGATAGCACCATCTTATTGGAATCAAAGGTCGTCTTCATCAATATCCTCCAATTCAGGCTCGAAGAAGTCATAATTCATGGCTCTTTAGCATTCGTTTTGACTGTAATATTATGTGCCTCTTAATTTTGAAGAAATGTAGCCTGTGCTTTGTGCAATGATGTAAGGACGGTTGGATCGGTTATGGTTGCTCGAATCACAGACTCTCCTGAATGATTGTGTCCAACGAATATTGGACGCGCGATGCCTAACGCGAACCGAACCATTATTTTAGTAATAAATTTGCATGATTTACCCACCCTGCCCAAACTGGGAATACAAGTAAATCTAGTAAGGGCTGTCAAAAAAGAAACTAACTCCGAAAAAAATATTATATATCTTAAAAATCAAATATGATTTTGGACAGAGCTCAAAGTTATTGAATACACGCAATAATACTTTTCAAATATAATTTTCCCAGGGAAATTAAGTAAAATTTCCGAGTGCTTTTTTGTCCCAATGGATATTATAACATCGTTACATATTTCCTACTGGGTTTGTATCTGATTATTAAATTTCTTTTGCGTTATATTTTTGCTTATACTATGCTGCAAATTATCTGCGGCTTTATGGCGGTTCCCATTAAAAGGTATATTGAGCGATAATTTTTCAAAAGAAACAGCATCACCACCTTTTTGACGGGTTACCGAAAACCTTTGTGTCATTCAGGGGTTACCCGCTAATTAATTATAATAAAAATTGGCAAGTGGTTTAGTTGTTAATATGTATGAATATATACCTGTAGAATACAAAGTTACGCTGTGAAAACTCAACATTAGAACGCTTTTTTTTGGATTTGTTTCTGAGAAGACGGATGGGGTGTGTTCTGCGCAGAAGCATTTAAATTAATTAGGGACGCTAGTTGTTATACAAAAATATTTCAGCTGTCCAATCGTTTGATCATTAATAATAATTTTAATAACCATTTTTTTTATAGCAAAATGATATTTCTTATTTATGGCAAACTCTTCTCTGAAATATTATCGTGTTAGCCTAAATGAAAGATGCTAGAATTGCTTTATTGATGTTTTTATTATCTTATTTTACGCGAAACTTTTGCTTACAGGCTATATCTGTACTGATGGTCTACTTTCAGTTAAAAAGGTTCTGTGGCTGACCTTCATTGATTCGTATACACGTTATAGTACTAAGTGTACTTTTTCATACCTTTGAGAGCTCAAAATTTCCAGAAATTTCTGTTATGATCAGCTCTTTATTTGGTGAAACAGTATATTTGTTTGAAGTTCTTAGTTTTTGAGAAGCGTACAGGATAAGTGCAGAAGAAATGTTTCATTGTTTGTCTGTTGTCTTGCTCTGTTATTTCCCACATTCCTCTGGATCTGTCAGCTCCATTCTGCAGGCGCGTGCCGCCACCAGACTGTTACTAGTGAGTATTGAAGGCATGTCTCTTCCATCAAGAGTGATTAGGAACTTTGTGTATTTCTGATCAACAGCTCTTGTCATGCTTCTTTCCATATCGTCATTTAGACAATGTAAAGATTTATCAATATCGGTAAAATTTTCGCTCGCCTCCGCACATCACTCCTGCCGATCTCATTCACTATCTAATTGTCATCGATGTATTTGTAATTTGGCACTAAGTAGAAGTGAAGTCGCTTGTTCCTGGCGGCAGTCTCCACAGCTGCACTGTTGTCCAAGACACTTCTGGCTACGTAGATGCTGACTTTGGATCTGTTGATACATTAGAGGCTAGCTCTGCGGCTTTCAAAATAGCAAAACCTCTGCTTGAAATATACTGCAGCGGTCCGTTAACTTAAAGGCTGTTTTTTGCCTAACTCTGGAAAGTGTATTCCCACAACAACTCAACTCAACGCAGTTAGCGATGCCTAATTATGGAGAGTGGTGGCCATTATACTGCTAATGTTGTACGGACATCTTTCCATTATTAAGACGGCAATGTCATCTAGATATGTCACTTCTTATGGGCTTTGTCGTTTCTTAGCAGTTCATTCACCACTAATGCGTTGATAGCACTTCATCTTCACTGTTTCTTCCTGAGATTAAGGAGATCCAGGTACACTCAAATATATTCAGAATAGAATCTGTAAAAACGTTGTTGAAACTCCAGAGAATGTTAAGGGACACTCCAGCGTATGGAGTTCATTCTGCCTATTGTGCACTAATTAATAATAATAATAAATACTAATTGCTAAGGAAATTCAAACGTTTTCCATATAGATATAACATCATTTAATTGGCCTCCACCATTTTCTTCCACGCACGATTTGATTTAACCCAATTTTGGATCAATTTCAATTCATTTACTCCATTTACGGTGGTTCAATGGCTTCAGTTCTTGAGTGAAAGCAACTTTATATGGATGCAAGCCCAAATCCTTTCTCAAAATACGCTAGGTTGTTGCTTAAGGGGGGAGCCTGCATTAGAAGCTTAAAAAAATTGATTTTTTTATTGCTTAAATCTCTTTAAAAATAATCTAAGAATATGACTCCAAAGTTATAGATAGAAATTCGAAATATTTTCGTAGCTAGAAGGGAAATCGTGACTGAGCGTATAGCAGATATACTTACTTCCGTATTTACAGAGGAAGCAAGTATTGATTGATTTTACCAAATACCTGCCCGTATTGGGGCGTGTTAATATAATAGATAAGAGTTTAAGAGTAATTTTGGCCATTTTTATTTTATGGTCTGTAATCGGTTTTCATTGTATTCAGTAATGTTTACAATTTCAACACGGAAATATATTCTCAAGAATAAAACAAATTATTCGATTTTATTGTCAAAATAATCGTTATCCAATTACAACTTTTCGTGCGCTTTTACCATTTTATGGGTGCAATAATCGTCCCCCTGTACTCACTGTTCGTCGAATTATTAAACATTTTCCAAGAAGTTTTCAAGAATTGGTACTGTCTTAAAGGGGAGAGCCTGCTTTAGAGGCTTAAAAAATTCAATTTTTGGAGGAGTTTTTTGGAAGGTAAAGAAATAATTGATTAATGCGAATTTTCTAGTGTTTATAGTTATATGTTTAGACATCACTCATTCATTTTTTGGATACGAAATCTTTGATATTTTGCCTATGGGATGAAATTGCCCGATGCATCTCGCAGGTGCATTTGCTGGACGGCGGGTAGGATACAGGTCGCAATTTCTGTCGGAAGCAAAAAAAATCAAAGAGATTCATAAATTAATAATTCAATTTTTAAAATTTTACAACTTTTTTACAAAT